AATGCAATCCATCTTTTGCCTTCCTGGCTGTTGGTACCAAGAGTGTTAGTTGTGGAGTCAAGCGAGCTGAAGCTGTTAACAATCTCAATCTCTTCACCATCTGTCATGAGGCTGCTAATTGGCCCTGTGGTGAGAATCTTTACTTTCTTGTTGAGCTTCAATCCATATTGAAGGTTGCAGTTCTTGACCTTTGGCAGCAAATGCCTCATTACTGTTGAGTCTGACAAAATTCATAATTCATCTTCATTGGGTTTCAAAGGCTGTTAGCCCACCCAGGAGAAGAATGCCCATCTTTCTCCTACAGAGCTACCAGGAGGTTAGAACTACCAGAGAGGCATGGTCTTCGGGTTAGTAAAGCAGCTCCCTACAGACCAGGAGGAATCTAAAAAGCAGGGTCGAGGAAGACCTCTAGACTTACTGGCATTCTGATTTTAACAAGACTCCATTGTTATTCTGAGACTGCAAATCAGAGGACTTCAATCTTTCTTTGGAAGAGTAGGTGGTGCATTTGAACTGTCCACCTTTTGGTTAGCAGCCCAGTGCAAACACTTGGTCTGTTTCATATGTGATCAAGCAGAGACCCTGGGTCCTAGTTCCTTCTCAGCCTGCTTTGCCTTTTCACTTCCTTCGCTGTAGAGCGTCAGGGGAAACCCAGCGTCCAGAACCTTAGTTTCCTTCTCTGTTGATGAGGCCAAATTGATGATGACTTCTCAAAGGGCTGTTCCAAGAATTAAATGTAACAATTTAGGAGCTCCGAAGGCCTAGTGGTAAGAAGCTGTGCTGTAATCCCAAAGGCAAGCGGTTCGAATCCACCAGCTGCTCCGTGGGAAAAGGATGAGCAGTCTCCTCCCGTGTGATTTGCTGCCTCTGAAAACCCATGGGAGCGGCAGCTATAGCTCAGTTCCAGTTCCAGGCACAACAACAGAAGCTCGGGTATAATGGTAGAAATTACTGTGATTGGTCCTCGCTCACACCCCTGAGGCACTTTCCCTTTCTTCTTCTCCTTCCAGAGTGAGGACGAGGCCATGTCACATCTTGAGGAATGTTTATGGTCAGGTGCTAGGCTAAGCTTGCTGTGTGTGCTGTCTCAGTTCACCCTCACAGCAACCCAGACATAGGGATCCCAACCATGTAAAAAGAGAACAGTCATTTGCTCCAGTTTTCCTCATAATTAGGTTACAGAGGCAGGGTTTATACTGGGCTGGTATCAAAAAGCAAAAGGAGCCTGGCGGTGCAGTGCTGAAGAGCTATATACTAACCAGAGGGCCAATAGTGTGAACCCCCAGTTACATGTGGCAGTCTACTTCTGGAAAGGTTTACAGGCTTGGGAACCCTTGTAGGATGATTCTCCTCTGTTCAACTCAATGGCAATGCATCTGATTTTAAATCTAGTCTCAAATCAGAGCCTGGGTGGTACAAGTGCTTTGCAATTGGCTCCCTAAAGGGTAGTGGTTCAAATCTAGTGAGAAGCTCCGTAAAAGAAAGATCCGCCAATCTGCTTTTGTTAATATTACAATGATGAAGTGTTTCATGAATATAGAAAACCCTACGGAGCAGTTCTGTCTGTAATGCCTGGGGTCACCACAAGTCAGAATTAAGACAACAGTGGGTTGAGTTTTGCTCTGCTTTGTTTTGGTCTCAAGTCTTGCCCCATTAACCACTGTGCTAGGTGGCCTTTCACATCCTCACCCCAGCACCTGCTTCATTGGGTAGAGGGGCTTTGGAAATTACCTGTAACCATTTATAAGAAGCCCTGACTAACGTCTGTGGGGGCAAGAAGCCTCCCTCAGTGCTGGTGGAGTTGATGGTGGGTGTCTGGGGGAGAGCTTATGAGACAGAGGGGTGAAAGTGAAGAGAGGGGAGGAGGAAGCCAGGTTACTAAAAAGAAAGCTCTGTTGTGCAGCCAGCCGCCAGGATGTGGCTGGTTTAGCAAGGCATGATGGGGAGTGTGGAGGTGGATCTGTTCCTGGCCCCTTCTTCCCATTAAGCAAAGATTTCATTTTTCAAAAGTGCAGATCAGGTGTTAGTAGGTGGAAAAGTCAGGCTAAGAGCCAAAAAGGGGACTAGCGGTGCCAGCGAGGTCTGTCTGGTCCGGGACAGGGTGAAATCTATCAAATATTCAACTAGACAGGGCTAATTTCAGGACAAGATGTATCCCAGATAAGGAGCTGGAGGAGGAAGAAGGATTTTATCAGGGAAAGCCAGGCATGGAATGTGTGTCCACACAGGCAGCTTCCCCCACTGCAGACTTGCTTCATCTGTGGCAGCTGCCTGTCTCACCCACCTTTCCCTCTGCACGTCACCAAGGCCATACTGCAGCTGCTGTCCTCTGACCATGAGCTTTAGTCCATGTGACCAATGATGACCTTCTTCCTCCTACTGCCTCTTTTAGAAAACACAACCCATACAACACACTTGTGATGGACCGGGGTGGGGCGGGTGGGGGGTGGGGAGGGTGCACAGGGATGGTGGTAGTCACAGGGAAAGGATTACAACACAACAGAAAATAAGAAGTAATATATTTGACGTCCTCGGCTATTCCTGGGGACTTCTCACTGAGTCCATGTCTCCTTGGTCACCATGCTTTACAATCTGTCAATCAATCTCCCTCCATCTCTGCCTTTCTACCTGCCAGCTTATTTATCTGCAGTAAAACCTGTGAAAGTCAGAACCTACATGAAGGTGGAAACCTTGTCAGTGAAGGAAAACTCAAATGCTTTCCACTAAAAAGAATGAACACAGAAGAGACCACATCCTGTCAAAGGTGGAACACTTGTAAGATCTGAAACATGAAGATGGTTCTGTAGAATTCCAGCTCTCACAGGTTTCATTCTATTTCTCTAGCTAGCTGGTGATCTTTTTTCCTTCTTTTCTAGGTATGAAGATTCTTCCAACACTGTACTAGACAATTCCAAATCTTTCCTGTCTCCTACAGCTCCAGGGAACTTAACTTCCATAACCAGAATTGCCTTCAAAGTATTTTCTTCAAATAAACATCAGTTCTTTCTTTTCTAGAAAACCAACTCAAACTATCAATTGTATTTAAAACATGCATGTGTCCTCTCTCTCTCTCTCTCTCTTTTTTGCTAAATCTACATTTCTGCTCCTTCTTTCTACTCTCTTTTCTCTCCCTCGTCTACCAAAGACAGTGCCAGGAAATACTGTGCAGAGGTAAAAATTGAGCAAAGTCAAATGTATGTTCAGGGGCTAATTTAAAGCAACCTTCAATGAAAAGGATGCGACATCAGATCTGTTGATTAAGAGACGTAAAGCATTTGTGTCTGTTCCAAAATGCAAAATGACATCAGCTGTTTGTTTAGAACCAAGAATGTCTGCTTATAAAAATTTTACCTATGAGAGAATGTCAACCTGGATGGAGATGACATCACACCAGAGCTCAATTAAATTGTCACATGGCTTGTTTTCTGTACAACAGTCTTAGATCACATCTTTTTTCATGCATTAGGTTTCTAATATCTTGACCAGACCTTGAATTTCAAAGGACTACTGTCAGAAGTCCAATGAGTTAATTCTTTTGAGTTGATTCAACAACTCAACTAATTACTATTGAGTTGCAGCCATCATAGGTGACCGTCTGGAAGGTGTTGGGCACCATAAGTTTCAAAGGAGAGGGTTGGCCGTCTTTCTCCTGCAGAGCCAGTGGTGGATTAGAACTTCCAGAGAAGTGCAGACTGTGAGTGAGCAGTGCAACTCCCTCCAGGCTAAGCCACCATGGCGCCCTTTAAGCTTGCTAGTCTCCCAATATGCCCCAATGTTAAATTTCATAATACCAAACCTGCGCTGGAGCAGGGAATACTTAGGACCAAGTTGTGAGTACATTTCTAACTTTTGTAGACTTTTCATTTCCAGAGACTGCTTAATGGCAATGTAGCTAGTGAGTCTTAGGCCAAGCACACCTGTCATTTTCTTTTTTTTTAGTCTTAAATGCTGTTTTGTGGCTCCTTCCTTCCCCTTCTGGAAGGAAGCCTGCAGCCTTGCCAAAGAGCCCATCATTGCACCTGACTCTGAACTGAATAGAACACAGAGCAACCACAACATAGGGAAGTATTTCTCTTACAGACGACAAAATACAGGTCATTTTGCTGATGTCTGTCTGCTGTGCCTTCTTTCTGAGTCGGTAGCATGCATATTCCTCCATCAGTGTGTGTGTGTGTGTGTGTGTGTGTGTGTGTGTGTGTGTGTATTTGTGCCTCTGATATATTCTCATACCTCTTTACCTAGAAGAGTGTTGCCCTTTCTTTAAGGACTAGACATAAAGCCGTTCTTCAGGAAAGATTTTTCCTCTTTGGCTCCAGCAGCATCTGACTGAAGCTACCTGATAATTCATGCTGTTACCATATTATATACCTATTTGACACCTGGTCTATCTCTTCACTAGGCTGTTTATGAAGGAGTCTGAGACTGCCTCTGAGCTGGGGGGGTGGAGCATAATTATATACTAGATCGAGAATGCCACCCCTTGTGTTGCAAAGGGCGGGGATGCACAGCTGTGGCTCAGTTTTCATCCTTTGCAGTGTGCTTACTAAATATTGAATAACAACACTGCAAGCTGCTGACGTGATTTTCCTCTGTGTGGAAAGACTAGAGAAAACTTTTTCTTCTGGTTTCAACTCTGCTCTTGTCTTCTCCTGAGGAGGACAGTTAGCCAGGGTTCAGATGTTATATAAACCCATGCCAGCTCCCTAGGGTATCCCCCAGCCTCTTTTCCCCAGTCCCACCATCTCACCATCTTCACATGGGCGAGCCCATGACCTGGATACTGGGGTTACGCTGGACCCCCAGGAGGTGATGACATCCTGGAGCCATTGGAGTGTCAGAAAGGACTCCCCCCCCCCCCACCATGATGCTGTTGATAAACGTCTCCTCTAAGCGGCTTCACATCCGCCCTGCAAGCCCCAATCAAAAAGCGCCTTGCCTTCTCCCAGCCAAAGGCTACCGTTTTGACATGATTTTGCTTCCTGTTTACACCACAGGAAGCAAGAGAGCTGCTGCCACCTCAGCCAGGGCAGGAAGACACAGCAGGGGGAAACCCCTGTCCCCTGTCCTGCTGCCCGGGTCCCGGGGTCTCCCAGCAGACTGCGGTCACCACAGAGAGCGAGCCAGGCAGCAAAGCCAGCCCAGGTAGGCTTCCAGTTGGGTCTTGTAGAACAAAGAGCTTCAGGACAAAGGTTCAGAGGTAAGGTAAGAACTACGGCTAAGCTGAGGACTGGGTCGTTGTGCACTGATGGCATGGGTGGGCTTATGAGCATCCAGGGGGCCCAGATCCAGTGGGCTGTAGGACAGGGGTGGTATTACCGGGGGTTCTGAGAGGAAGCCTGCCGGATGAGTCTACGATACTATGTGGTATTGGTGGGAGGATGACCTTTTAAAGATATAGTTCTGCCCAGTAAGTCAACTGGGGCATGAGGCTTTTGGGGAAAGGAGCAAAGCTAAGCTCACCCACTGTTCTGGGAAGCCGCCCTGAGCACGTGGTGTTCTTTATCTCCAAGGCTGAGAATAAGGTGCCAGTGCAGCAGGAGAGCATTTACTTGGTGGTTACCACCTGTGTGGCAGGGGTAGAAAGTGTGATTGGATGATAGATCGAAATGCGAAGACCTGAATTGTATGTTTTGTAGAAAGAGCAGAGGAAATGGAGTTAGGAAGGCCCAGGCAGGAGACCTGACTTTCACTAAGTGTGGTTCCAGACAATTTACTTGATCTTCTGAGCCTTGAATCATGAGCAAGGTGTGGAAAAGCATATAGAAGCCCAACACAGGATTCAACTCAGCGTTTCTAGAATGCTGGCTTTGTGAGGTCCTGTGCTAGACAATGGGGACTGATAGATACAGGGGCTGTCCTCCTCAGGAGAAGACAGGGACTGATAGATCAGAGGCAGAGAGAGAGAGAGACAGAGACAGACAGAGAGAGACTAGCTCCTGGTGTCAAGGAACTCACTGCAGAGGCAGATAAATACTCGGGCTACCCCCATAAGCCAGTTTGAGAAATGCTCCATGTGAACAGCTGATGGAGGCCTATGCGATATCATGACTAGAAAGAGCTAGAGCATCTCATCTAGATCAGGTGCTCAGCTAGTGGCAGCATCTTCTCCATGTTTCTGCCCTTGTTAGATGCGTTTAAGTTGGTGCTGACTCACAGCAACCCTGCGGGGTCCTGCCAGCCCCACAGTTGTTACATTCAAACTTGTTGTTGCAGCTACCAAGTCAATCCATCTTTTGGAGTGTCTTCCTCATTTTCATGACCTTTCTGCTTGACCAAGCCTGGTGTCCTTCAGTAGGGATTGTCTCTCCTGGTAACAAATAAGCAATGCACCAGAGGACACCTTAGATTTCTACTGACAAAGGCTTGCCCATAGCTTTCCAATTCTCACTGCAGCCCCTAGAAGCAGAATGTCTTATAAATGCAGAAGCTGACTTACTCGCTAAAGCCTTGGAGTGGGTAATCACCACCTGAGTTGTTTGAATGGTACAGAGCATCTCTTTGATAACCATCAAAGCTAATGCTCTACAGTTTATTTCCTTTGACGCCTGGCATTGAAACATGGGACAGGGTCAGCATCCTCTAACTGGATTGCATTGTGCTCCCAAACATTCCCCAAAGTCCAGAGCCAGACAGTTATGTTCTTAACCAGGGAAAGGGCAGAGCTACAGACTATTCAGTGCTAGGCAGTAACCTGAATTCTTGGCTGTGTGAGGCTCAGCTTGACTCTTCTGTTCCTTTAAAGAGAGCCAGGGGTGGAGTGTACCCTAGGCACTCAGATGGAAGGCTGGTTTAACGCCGGCCTTCCAGAACGAATCTCCTTCAGTGAAGCATTGAGCTTGGCAGAGCCTGTCTGGGGTCCTGTCAGCCTCCTAGAGCAGGATGCACATCACAGTTACCTCTGGAACTTCTCAAACACCCAAGACTCAGGCTGTACACCAGTGACTTCAGCCAGGATCTCAAATGCATGAGTCAGGATTGGTAAAGTTCTTCCCATTCTAGTGTACAGCTGAGTTTGAGACTCATCGTCTCCCAGCTTCTTTCCTTTGTACCTTGTCAGAAACTCTTTAAGGGAGTCCTGGTGATGCAGTGATTAAGAGTTTGACTGTTAACAAAAAGTAGACAAATGTCTACTGTGAAGATTTACAGCCTGGGAAACCCAATGGGGCAGTTCTAGGATCTTCTCAAACTCTAGTTGACTACAGTCACCTTGAGTCACCTCTAGTCCTCTGATCCTGCCTGCGGTTGTGCCAGTCAGGCAAGGGTACCCAGATAGAGACACCCCCACTTATGCTAATCTCCTTCTTTACAACCTTTCCCTGCTGCTCACCACTGCATTGGAATTTAGGACAACTCACCACAGAGTGGGACGTCCAGCTTTTGTCTTATCTCTCCTTCCTAGTGCAACAAACTTCCCCAACAAAACACCCACTGCTTAAGAGGCAGGCTCGGATGGACTATAGCCTTGACACCACAGCCGAGGACCCTTGGGTGAGAATTTCGGATTGCATCAAGAATTTGTTTAGCCCCATCATGAGCGAGAACCATGGCCACCTGCCGCTACAGCCCAGTGTCCACTTGGGTGAAGATGGGACACAAGGCCACCCAGATGGGGCCCCGTCGAAGCTGGATGCTGCCAATGGTGTTCCCAAAGTCTACAAGCCAGCAGATGGCGGGACCGTCAAGAAGGGTCCACCTGTAGCCCCCAAGCCAGCGTGGTTTCGCCAAAGCTTAAAAGGTCTGAGAAATCGAGCTCCTGACCCCAAACGTCCGCCCAGCACCACCTCATCCGCTCAGCCAGTGCCCGCCCCCAGAGACCACCCTGGACCACACCTGCGGGCTGCCTCCTCCATCAAGCAGAGAATCAGCTCTTTTGAAACTTTTGGCTGCTCTCAAATTCCCGACAGAGGAAGCCAGAGGCTGAGCTTCTATGCTTCCATGGGGGAGACAGCAAAGCCTTCCGGAAAGCAAGAGGAAAGGTGGGGCTCAGGTCACACTGCACAAGGTGCTCAGTCTACTGTACAACAACAGCGACCAGAGAAAGAGCAACTGCCGCCAGGTCCCCCTGCAGCCTCAGAGGCCAGTAGCCTAGGAGTGTCTCTCTCCCCTCCCCCAGGACTGCAGCCCACCCAGAAGACCCTCCTCACTGACCCAGACCCCCTTGTGAGGCTGCTGTCAGCACAGACTGAGGCGTCACAAGGCCCTGTGGTCAAGATTCCAAGTCAGCGGGCACGGAGCTTCCCCCTGACCAGGACCCAGTCCTGCGAGGTGAGGCCGCCAGATGAAAAGACCAGTAAACTCTACTCCATCAGCAGCCAAGTATCATCAGCTGTCATGAAATCCTTGTTATGCCTCCCATCATCGGTCTCCTGTGGCCATGTTTCCTGTTCCCCCAGGGAAGGGGCACCACCATCCGCATTGTCCAGTGAGGACCCAGCAGCAAACAGCTCTGCTGAAACATCTGCTTCTGACACAGGTTTCTCACTCAAGTAAGTATCTTCACCCAGGAGTCTCTCTGCCTGTCTCAGTTTGCTTTCTCTTATAATCCTTTCTGTCTTAATAAAACATAGTGGCACAGTAGTTAAGATGTTGGCTGCTAACTGAAAGGTTTATGGTTCAAATCCACTAACCATGCTGTAAGAGAGAGATATGGCAGGCTTCTTCCCATAAATATTTTAGCCGACAGCACAGGAGGGGATGGCCCTCTATGAGGTGGATTGATTCAGTGATTGGGATAATCTGGATGGGAGTGTCAGAGCCAGTGCTATTGGCTCAGGACAGAGCAGAGTTTAGGTTTGTTGTACATAGGGTCGCTATGAGTCGCAAGCGACTCGACAGCACATAACAACAACAACAACAGTTCCAGGTTGCAACTGCATAAAGTAAGAGGCCTTAGTCACCAAAGGGCTGTTGGTCAAAAAGGTCCCACATGCATGTGTAAGTAAATATAATTTATATATCAAGCTCAACTCACTCTCTATAGTATGTACATGTATATGTACAGCTCTGGTGGCCTAGTGCCACCAGAAACAGCGCTGCAGTCCCAAAGGCACACAGTTCAAATCCACCACCTACTCTACGGGAGAAGGATGGCAATTAACTGTCTCTGAAAACCCACCAGAGGGTCAACTATGAATTGGTTCTGGCTTGATGGTACACCACCACCACCACCACTAATAACACACATATATATATTATAATATAGAATATAATGTATTCAGTTGTTGTTGTATACCGTAGAGTCATAACCAACTCATAGCTGACCCACTGGTGGGTTTGTAGAGATAATAAATCACACGGAATGAGATAGTCCATCCTTCTCTCACTGAGCAGCTGTTGGCCTCGAACTGCGTGCCTTTGGGATTGCAGTGTAGTTTCTTGCTACTAGGCCACAGAACTCCCTATAATATATTCTATATTATAGTGTTACACACGCACACACACACACGCAACTCATTTTTCTTTCTTTTTTTTTTTTTAAATTTTGTGTACGTGTACCGTCAAATCAGATCTGACTGGTACAGGAGGATATTGCGCCTCCTTCTCCGGCAGAGCGTCTGGTGGATTCAAACCGTGTTCCTCTGGGATTGCAGTGCAGTTTCTTGCCACTAGGCCACCAGAGCTCCCCTATTCAACTCATTTTTATAGGGAGCACTGATGGCCTAGTGTTAAGCAGTTGCATTGTCAGTCCAAAAGTAGGTAGTTTCAATCCACCAGCTGCTCCATGGGAGAAAGATGGGCAATCTCCTTCTGTGCAAACTATTGCCTCTAAAAACCTGCTGGAAGGTCAACTATTAGTTCTTATTTGATACATAATAACGACAATATATATGCCTATGTGTGTGTGTGTATAAATCACAGAGGTTGTGATTTGTAGCCTCTGGAAACCTGCTGAGATTTAAGCTGGGTCGGTTCTGGCTCAGTGGCACAGAGCAACAACAGCATCCCATCTTAAGCCAGTCATGACACGGTGACAAATGAAGAGATGAGTGGTGGTGGCATTAGTGTAGATGTAATCAAACCGTTAGCTACACTTCATATAGTGCTGAGCTGCAGAACACAGATTTTATCTAAAGCCAGACATGATCTGTAATTTTCAATCCCACTCTTAGCATTTTATAGCTGTTACTGTTATTGTGTGCTGTTGAGTCTGAACCAACTCATAGCTGGGTTTTAAGATACTTTTAAATTGCATGGGAAGACATGGCTATTTTTTCCCCTGAGGATATTATAGCTATTTGGCTGTAAATTAGTCACTTACTTTCTCCAAGCCCCATCTTCTCTTCTCTTTGCAGTCGATGAATGCCATCATCAAATAATAAGAGTGCTCATAAATGTTTCATGTCATGCCCAAGATAGAGTAATTTTACAATACCTGTGAGATTTTGTTAATGTTATTATTTGTGTTGTATGATGTTTCTCCCCATAAAAGCCTTTCAGAACTGAGAGAATATACAGAGGGTCTGACAGAGCCCAGGGACACTGATGACCGGAGCCACGGCTCCCCTCAGCCCGGCCAATCTGTTATCTCTCTTCTGAGCTCAGAGGAGCTGAAGAAGCTCATAGAGGAAGTGAAGGTTCTGGATGAAGTCACATTAAAGGTAGGTTTCCTTTGTAAGCATTTTCCAGGGATCAAGGCCTGATTTTAGAGCTGTAAGAGAACAGTGTGAATGAAATTAGAAAGAATTATGCTGAGTGACATAAGTCAATCACAAAAAAATAATTATGAGAGAAGACCACGGATATTTAACACACAACAAGAAATGGTTTATACACAAAATGAATCAATCCTGAAGGGTTAATAGAGATGAGAATAGAGGGAGAGAGACATGAAAACAAACCAAGACAAAATAACAAGGAATAAAGAAAGAAATAAAAATTAATGTTATTGATTGATTGATTTTTTTACAAAGTACATAGGAACTTTGGTGTAATGTGTGGTGTGTTTGATATCACATTGTTAACTACAAGGTCAAGTTGACAAGCTGTTCCACAGGAAGAAGATGAGCAGTCTTGGAACTCACTTCATTCATTGTTAATGAGCATATAAAATGGTGCAACCACTAAGGAAAGCAGTTTAGCATTTCCTTAGAAAGCTGGGAGTAGGAATACCCTTTGATCCAACAATCCCAATACTAGATAGATAGCCTAAAGAAATAAAAACTGTGACATGAACAGATACATCCATTCCTATGTGTATTTGCAGCCTTATTTATAAATGGCAATGAATTGGAAACAACCCAAATGACCATCAATGAATGAATGGCTAAAAAACTGTGGTGCATTCACACAATGAAGTATGATATATCACTAAAATACTAAAAAAAATTTTAATGAAATACTGCACAGCATTGATGAATTCAGAACAAATTATGCTGAGTGGCATAAGCCAGTGACAAAAGGGTAATTATAGCATGAAACTAATAATATTAAAAAATGTTGTTGTTGTTGTGTACCATTGAGTTGGAACTGACCCACAGTTGACTGTCCAGTGGGTTTTCAGAGATAGTAATCACATGGGAGGAGATTGCCTATCCTTCTACCATGGAGCAGCTGGTGGACTTGAACCGTGTGCTTTTGAGTTTGCAGAGCAGCTTCTTGACACTAGGCCACCAGAGCTCCCTATATTAAAAAAAAATAAAAACACCCAGTCTGGAAATTGATTACATCAGAAAGAATCTTAGAGGGATTAACAGGGATGAGAATTAAGGAAGAGAGGAGGAAAGAAACTAGAACAGAATAATTACAAATAAAGAATAAAAAGAAACCACAACTTTTTTTGTAAAGCACGTTAAAAAATAGATGTTGTTAGGTGCTGTCAACTCAAGTACAACTCATAGCAACCCTATGAACAACAGATCTGAACCTTGTCCTCTCCTGTGCCGTCCTCACCAGCTCTGACACACTTGAGCTCATTGCTTCAGTCACTGTGCCAATTCATATCGTTGAAGGTCTTTCTCTCTTTCACTGCCCCTCCAGCCTTCCAAGTATGATGTCTCTTTCCAAGGAACAGCCTCCCCTAGCTGTATGCCCAATGTATGAGAGACGGAGCTTTGTCATCCTTGTCTCCAAAGAGCACTCTGGCTGCACTTTTCCCAAGACATTTTATCCTTTTGACAATTCATGGGATATTCAGTACTCTAACACCACAACTCAAAAGCATCAATTCTGAGTCATCCTTATTCATTGTCCAACTTTCAGGTGTGTAGCAGGGGATACCACCCAATAAAGGATTGCTATGATCCCTAATTGAGTCAACAACAGTAGGCGGTATTTTTAAAGGTCTAATTAGGGGCTGTGAAGTCCTATCAGGTGGGGCAGTAGGCAGCCGTTTGAGCAGCCACTAGTACTTTTGAGGCTCAAGAAGGCAACTCCCAAGAGCTAACAGCAGACCCACAGTATGACCTGGCACAGGACAATTTAACTCCTGGCCACAGTAAAATCTTGCATTGGAAGGAAGCTTTTTTTTTTTTTTTTTTGTATTTTTGTTTGCCTGCCCTCCGTTTTTAACAATGAAATTTCCAGAACAAATCCATGGGTTTTTTTCCAATCAATTGTGCACATTTTGTTTCATGCCATTGATTGAAATCAAAGTCATGTAACATCATTCATCCCTCTGTGCGTCTGGTTTCTGTTCCTCCCTCCGCCCCATCCCTTCCTGGCTTTTGAGTTGTGACCTTGGGCAAATGCTCCCCCTTTCATTTCCCCCGAGGATGATTGTTCTAAGAAACCTCTATCTCCCTAGTGTCACTGCTAACTTTACAATTCATGATCTCATTGCATCCTTTTAGCTATTTTTTTCTTTTCCAAAATTTAGTATTTTTTTGAGTGAACATTTACAGATTATACTGATTTTCATACCATCATTCATATACACTTTGTTTTAAAACATCAAGTACAGTTGATCAATGTAATTACAATGTTGCATCACTTTCTTATTGAATATTGCCTTTTTCTGCATTTTTAATTTTTAAACACTTTTTATACATTTGCATATAATCATTCATATACATTGTATTTTATGCATGTACTTTGTGGTTTGTACAATCATTGGTATACATTATGTTTTATATAATTATCATTGCTCTATGCCTATCATCACCCCATCTTTTCAAGCCCTCATTAAACCTTTGCCATTACCTCACCTCCCATGCACCCACTAACCTCTTCTATGCCAGGGATTTTCTCCCTTTCCCCTTTTGCTTCCCTCTCTTCTCCTTTCTCTTTAGAGCATTTTTACATATCTTTCTCAACTATCTTCCCAATTTCACCATAATGGCCTTATGCAATATTTGTCTTATGTGACTGAGATATTTCACTCAGTAAAGTGCTCTCTAGTCTCTCCCAGGTTATATAATATTTTGTGAAATCATTGCTCAAATGATTTTGCTTTTTAGCTATTTTGTAAATGAGAAAAGTGAAGCTTGAGAACCATTGTTCTTGGTCACAGATTCCAGTTTCAATCAGCAGGTTAAGTCCTTTTTCCAGCACTAGCAGTCTGCTGGCCTGCTCTAAGTCCCCAACGAGCTACTGTGTGAGACCATGTACTATATTCTGTGAACAGTATGACTATAATTATTCTTACCACTGTGTTTTTACTATTCCTGCTGCACAATGAGGTGACTGCCCCCGAGGTCTGTAGGGCCTCTGTGTTCCAGCCAACTCATTGTGAAAGTCTTACTTCCGACATGGTTTCTGAGCGTGACACAAAGGAGTGTGGAGAGGAAGCAGCTGGCCAGGTGGACCCCAGCCCTCAGAGGGGTGCAGCCTCTTAAATTTTATACCTCCTGGTTCTCACAGTCCACACAGACTTTTTCTATCTGGATCTGCAGATTGAGATGAACACAAAAGAAACCCCTCTGTTTCTACCCTAACAGATGAGATATCTGGGGTCTTCAGGTCAAGGATGTGCTGAAGCCTCATGGACTCAAGGTTTTCCTGGGAGCCCGTATTTCTCCTTGGTTCTCATTCAGTTCATCATACACCGGGCCTATCACCTCTTACTCAGCTTAGATGAAGTAATGGAAGCAAAAGTGTTATGCCAATAACCACTAACTGTCCCGCCGAGAGTCTTTCTTGAAGAGTATCTGCTTTCAAATATAAACCTGATCTCCTACAGGACAAGTAATTGGATATTGCAGGCAGAGTAAGGAGGTTTGGGCTCCTGCTGGAATCAGAGGACAATGAAGGACCTTCATCCTCTAGGCCTTCGACTCCAAATCAAGGGAGCTTAGAGCTACCTTACAGCCAGTTGCTCTGGCGACACTTGAGAAAGTAATTTTTTTTACTTCAAGCTGTTCCCTAGAGCCAAAGTACAAATGAGTGGTGTAAGAGCCAAGAAGACATGCAGACACATTTTATTTGCATGGTGTTTCTGCTTTGTTTTAATTATCCAGTTCTATATCAGGGCTTGGAACCAGTTCATTCTATTTTGATCTCCTTCCTGTCCCTAAGCCCTAAGAATTTTCATTTCGACCTCAGTTAAATGGGATCAGAATCTACAACTTAACAAAATCTCCAGGTGATGCTGACCTGTACATTTTGTTAAGCTGTTCCAAACTTTATTGCACATTAATAAAACAATTTAAAAAAATATAATTCTCTCTTTTTAAAGAGACAATCTGGTAACGTGGCATTCTGAGGTCGCCGCTGCCCTTTCTGAGCGGAGATGTGTTTTCTGACATCCTCAGAACTCTCAACGTTCTCCGTTTGCCCATTTTGCTCATTGAAGCTGTCTTCCTTGCCTCTCTACATGCATGCCAGTTAAGATCGTACCTTAAACTCCAGTGTGTTTACAGTTGTCCCATCTGAACTGTACTGTGTCCTGAGCATGTGCTTAGGAGATATGTCAGCCAGGTTCCTTTTGTGCTACTGTTGCACCCTGCGAGGTATGAGGAAAGGGAAGAAGCCACTAATAATCAAAGTAGTGCTGACCCCTGCCTCGTATTGTGGGCCCAACATTCTCCAACCTTATCTCATCCCACTGGGGTCAGAAATGGTAAAGATGCAGTCTCCTTTTAAACACTTGGCTTTCCATATAGGAAGCTCTGGTAGCACAGTCCTTCGAGAGCTGTGCTTTTAACACAAAGGCTGCACATCTCTGGAGGCAGTTCTGAGGAAGGAAGAAGGACAGTCTCCTCCTATTGCAAAGGATAGCCTCAGAGACCTGATGGAGTGTCACTGTGAGTCAGAACTGATTCAAGGGCCCTGAGTTTGAGTTAAGTACTGTTGGCAGTCAGAAAATCAAAAGATGAGTTGCTTTGGGGAAACTCTGCTGTCTGAGACCTCTCCAGAGTGCTAACGAGCAACGATGTCAGTATAGAGATTGAGGTGTACCTTACCTAGGCCGTGCTCTTCTCAATTGTTTGCTATGCATCCGAGAGCTGGACAATGACTAAGGATGACAGAAGAAGAATCAACACCTTCATGGTGTGTTGCTGTTAAAGAGTATTGAACATGGACTTCCAAGAGAACAAAAAGGTCTGTCTTGAGACAGACGTTGAAACTCTGTCTCACATACATTGAAACTCTGTCTCACATACTTTAAGCATGTGGTCAGGAGGGGTCAAGTCCTTAGAGAAGGACATCATGACATCAGAGTGGATGGTCAGTACAGGAAAGGAACATCTTGGATGAGATGGATTGACACAGTCACTGTGACAGTGGGGTCAGAGATGGTGAGGTTGGCTCAAGATAGGGCAAAGTTTGGAGCTGTTGCTCTTAGGTTTATTATGAATCATAGTTGACTCGACAGCACATAACAGTAACAGTGATGTCTTTAAGAGCCTGAGTGTGGACGGAGTGAGTGTGAATGGAAAACATTTGTTATTTACATAAAACTGTTACCTGCCAGCTTTCCACAACTCCTGAAAGTACAGTCCTCCTTCCGTGGACAGTGAGAGTGAAATCTGGAGAGGCGATGTTGCTTGATCATGACCAAACTAAGATTTGACATGAAAGCAGTGTGGTTTGAAAATATTTTTAATTGTCCACATTACTGCATGAAGATATTATATGCACACCCATGATCTTTTCCTTCTCCTTTCTGCAGCAATTAGACAGCATCCATGTTACCATCTTGCACAAAGAGGAAGGGGCTGGCCTGGGGTTCAGCCTGGCAGGAGGAGCGGATCTAGAAAACAAGGTGATCACGGTGAGTGGCCCTGCAGTGGGGGCAAACCAGAGTCTGAGGCTGTTGTTTGGGGCGGGGGCATTTGCTGGGAGGGGTCGTGTGCTGAGGAACAGAGAGGCATGACACCATGTGATTGGGAACACTGTCAGGACCCGTCTTCCTTATTTCTCTCTCTCTCTCTCTGTGTCTCTCTCTCCCTCTTCCCTCCCTCCCTCTCCCTCTCTCCCTCCCTCTCCCTCTCTCCCTCCCTCTCCCTCTCTCCCTGTCTCTCTCTCTCTCTCTAACTTAACTTTCTTTCCTTTTCTTAAAATCACAATTAAAAGTTTATTAAAAATAAACTAAAAAAATTTTCATTCATTTTATTAATTTATTATATATATTTATCTTATATGTTATTATATATTATATATTATTTATTGTAATGATTTGATTTATTACATAAAAAGAAAATTATTTAGTAAAAAGAAAATGATTTATTTTAAGACAAAAATTAAAAAAAATATACTTACTCCATACTTACTGTCACTATTAGGTCCCAAAGGCTAGGTTGTTAAGCAAAATTAGCACTGTGTAAAAATAGAGGAAGACATCATTGTATAGCTGTCAGATCCCTGAAACTTAGGGCCCAGTAAGTTGACACATAACCAACACAGTGTTATTTTAACCTCACCACTTGGTGTTTGTTACTGCCAGAGAGGCCTTATTTCTGTGCAAAATTGAGTTTTTACCATTGTTGTAAATGTGAAATGTCAGATAACAACAGTTAATAAGTGAGGATGAAGTGCAAATTTATTACATAAAATACACTGTTGTGTCCTTCAAAAAGAATCCTCTGCCTTCTCCACCTTGACTCTCTTGATGCTCTCTAATGTGACCTCATATTTGACTCCCATCACCAGCTTTGATTTAAGGAAGATGATCTCTATAGGCCCCAAACAACTTTAATGTGCCCAAGGGAATTGGAATAATTTTTAGATTTTTTTTTTTTTAATTGAGTTGTGCTGCTAACCTAAAGGCAGATGGTTTGATCCACCAACTGTTCTGCAGGAGAAACATGGGCAGTCTCCTCCCATGTAATTTACAGCCTCTGAAAACCTGCTGGAGGGTCAGCTGTGAGTCAATTCCAACTTAAAGGCAATGAGTTACTGTTTAGTTGTTTGCCTCACACAGCAAAATCAGAACTTCGGGCGACTGAAGTCCCAGTCGGAGGATTTTTGGACATTCTTGAAAGACTTTTTAAAAATTCAACAGTATATCTTCTGCTTTAAGAATAGAAATCTGTTTGCTGTGAAATGTTGAGGAAAGGGGGTTTATGGCTACAGGGGTGTGCTGGGAAAGTTTTACAAGCAGGACTGAAAATTGGCCCTGACGTGTAATGCAGAACACTATCATAGAAGCAACTTCTAGATACTTAATGTGACTTCCCACAGCTATAAAGTCTCTTTATATCTTACCTGTACAGGAAGGGGCTTTAGCTGGGTATAAAGGGGCTTTGAGAAGCAGAGCCTCATAAAACAAACAAACTAGATGCCATCAGTTCAACTCTGACTGCTGGTGGCCCATGCTTGGCAGAGGGGAATCCTGCTCCATAGGGCTTACAAGTGGCTGATGTTTGCAGAAGCCGATTACCAGGCCTTTCTTCTGAAGCACCTTGGGGTAGACTTTCAGCCTTTTGATTTGTAGCCAAACATTTAATCATATGCTTCACCCAGGGAGGAGGTTGCTTTCACCCACTGAGAGAATGAAAATGCTCAGTTGGACATTTGTGAAGCTTACCTGATGATAGGTTGATTGGTGGTGGGTCCCAGGGTATGAGCTGCAACTTCCTTTCTCCCTTTTCAAGTTTCCCACCATCAATACAGGAAAATTGAGTGGCGTTGTCTACAAGGAGTTGTGCTATTAACCCAAATGCTGAGTGTGTCTGGCAATTCAAACCCCTCAGCAGCTCTGTGCAAGGCCCTTCTGGTTACAATTTGCAGCCCAAGAAATGAGATCGAGGGTCACTATTGGAAACAATTCACTTTGAGTTGGAATCTAGTTGCTCTGAATGTAGCCAACACAGTAGCAGTGAGTTAGCATTTGTCATTATTGTTGTGTTGTTGAGCCTGGACTGACTCACAGCTGACTCTCCAGCAGGTTTTGAGAGGCAGTAAATCACATAGGAGTGGACTGACCAACTTTCTCCATGGAGCAGCTTGCAGATTTGAACCATATGCTTCTGAGTTGATAGTATAATCCCTTACAACTAGGGAGCTCCGGTTACCTAGTGGTAAGAAGCTATGCTGCAATCCCAAAGACATGCAGTTCGAATCCACTAACTGCTCCGTGGGAGAAGGATAGGCAATCTATCCTGCTGGAGAGTCAGCTGTGAGTTGGTTCCTCCTCTGTGACACGTAAGAACAGCGACAACAGGCTACAAGAGTTCCTTTCATGAACATGCTCATAAAGCTAGCAAATAACTTTTTTTCTGGTTTAATCTCTTTACGAGGTTTCTGATGTAGTTCACCTTCTAGCTGCAGAGAAGGAAGAGACCCTGGGTCTAGGAAGAGCACTTTGGCCTTTTTGCCCTTCCTTTGATATAGTAGGGATTCTTGTTTCTGGTTTTGGCCATCCACACCCAAAGCACGACAGCCACTCCAAACCCAGGAAGAGGCAATGCTCTGTGTCTGAGAATGTGCATGAGAACTTCCGCTTTTTTCTTCCGTGTTTGAGCATGTCCTTTCTTTTCAGACTCATGAAAAGGGTGCACCACCCATGATCGAATGCCTTGTTGGGCATTCATCTCTGTGTCTTCTAAATTAAACTCTTCAGTGCACTGGGGTGGGGGGGATTGATGCTGTCGCTGCTCATTTTATACATGAGAAACAGACTTGAGATTCAGAGCAGAGGTTTAACTTTATACCTGGGACCTGATACCACATCTGACCACGTGATAGAAGTTCTTCAACACTAGCCTAACTTAGAGCCTTATTTTCATTTTAGCCATTGTCCATGCCCATGCATGCAGTCAGTTCATTCTCTGAATTGTGCACTTTAGAATTTGCCTGTATTCATTAGCTGGCATTGCTATCATTCAGATACCACCGTGGGTAGCTTTAAAGAACAGATACTTTTTTTTCTTCACTGTTCTAGAGACTAAAAGTCCAAATTGTAGCTCCAGCCTTGCTGATTTCTTCCTTGTTGGAAGCTGTGGCTGCTTCTTGCTTCTTTGACTTGAAAACAGTTTTCCCACGGCCTCTGAGTCTAGTCTGCTCTTTCTAGAACTCAGGAGTCATTAGGTTTGACCTGCTGTGACCACGTTAATACAACAAGGGAAGCTCCCTATTTCCAAATAGGAACACGTGCATGGGTACAAGGTGCAGGAATCCAGCACTTATTTTTGGTGACACAATTCAATACATTGCCACATTAAAGACGGTGAAGTGAGAGCATGCAATTGTTCGATCCTGTATATCTAACAGAGTGGGGATCACTTTCTGGAGGGATGTTGTCAAAGTCCTTTAGTTTTGACTGGCTGGAGATCTCTTGAGCCCTGACATTGTTTGGTTTGCTCAGGTCCACCGAGTGTTCCCAAATGGGTTAGCCTCCCAGGAAGGCACTATTCAGAAAGGCAATGAGGTCTTGTCCATCAATGGGAAGTCTCTCAAAGGGGCCACGCACACCAACGCCCTGGCCATCCTCCGCCAAGCTCGGGACCCTCGGCAAGCTGTGATTGTCACAAGGAAGCAAGTCCCGGAGGCCACACCTGACCTGGACGCCTCCACGGACTCTGCAGCATCAACCTCTGGAGCCAGTGATGCTTCTGTGGAATTGAGTAAGTTCTCCCAGCTTATTGAAAGCCTTACGGGCAGCCTTGGCTGTGTGGTGCTTATCTTACTGGACCTACTCAGTAATCAGTGACCCCAAGACTGTGTGAACTGTCTAGTGTATTGCCTAAGATGTGAGAATATGAGTGTGCATGTGTTCGTATATGTATGCATGCAAATGTGTATGTGTACATGTATGTATTAATGTATATATGTGACTGTGTCTAGCATGTACATATGTGTGCATTCCTATTTGTGCACACATACGTGTGTTTGTATGTGCATACATGCATGTGTATCTGTGCATGCATGTATATGTATATATACATGTGTGTATATGTATAAATGTATTTCATGTGTCTCTGTATATATGTATGCATGTGTGTAAGCGTGTGTGGATGTGTACACACATGTCTCTGTGCTTGCACATGTGTGTGTGTATGTGTGTGTGCATAGATGCATGGATATGTATTCATGCATGCACATGAGTGCTGTTCCCTGGGAGAGGATAAAATCCCTGAGCTGAGCTCTTGTGTCCTTAGCAGCAGGGGCCGTGCTCTACACAGTGACGCTGGAGAAGACCTCTGCAGGGCTGGGCTTCAGTCTGGAAGGAGGAAAGGGCTCGCTGCAGGGAGACAAGCCTCTCACCATTAACAGGATTTTCAAAGGTGAGTGTGAGTCTGGTTCTTCATTCCTCCTGCTTGTGCTCAGGGGTCCAGGCTCCCAGATGGCTGACTTCTGAACACCTTCCAGGCCACGTAGATTTCCAAAATCTCATGTCCTTTTAGGAAGCATGCAGGCCTTCTTAGGGCTTCATTTTGCTTTTTCTTCCTTTTTCTCCTTGGTTCAAACAGCCCATTAATCTCTCTGTTAAATCCTTTTAAGCAGCTGAGCTCTGGGGTTGATAGAGTTTAGCAGGGCTGAGACTGGGATGAGGCAAGGGAGGCTGTGGTCTTGGGTGTGAAATCTAATTGCCCAGCAACTTAAAAAAAAAAAATTTAAAAAAACATCAAAATTAGCGCTGAGAGTTCCATGATGAACAACATATCAAATTTTCAAATAAAACAGAGTCTGACTTTGCACTTGTGATGGTAAACTTAATCATCCACCTGGTTCTAGTGCTCTAGCCACTGGATGCCAGCTGCCTCAATGATCTAGTGCTGCCAGGGCTGAAATGCCGAAAGCAGGAGACTTTAACAAATGAAAATTTGTTTTCTCAGTTTAAAAGGCTGGAGGAAGGCTCTCTCCCTGCATAAACTCTGGCAGGAGGCCCTTCTCTCTTATGAGTTTCTCCTCCAGGATAGTCTTTGTGTGGCTTGGTACCTCTTCCTTCCGGTCTTTCTTCTTTTCATCTTAATTTAATCTTCTATTATCTCAAAAGAAATCACTAGGATGACAGAGTCTGGTGAGCAGAGGGAGGAGGGAGGTGAAGGCATTAGGAAGGGGACTTGCAAAGACGGCATACATACATGAGTGATGATTAATTTTCTAAAACACAGTGTACATGCATGAGCATATGAAACACAATGAGAATGAAGGAGTGTGTGAAACACAATGTCCATGAATGAAACACGGTGTAAATGAATTTTGTATGCAATCCAATATAAAATAAAAGAGATAATATCCTCTACTAATTCACCCTCTTTAACATTCTAACAAAGACAACCCATTCCTAAAAGGGCTTGTAACCACAAACACAATGATTAGGATTTACAAAACATATTTTGGAGGGATACATTTCCGCTTTTAACCCTGTCTTTATTGAGTATTTTAATAGTTTATTTTTCTTGGATTGGGGTACAAGACAGCCTAGGGCAAGAAATCGTTGGATTAGTCTGTGAAAACCTTGCACAAAACTCCTAACACATAAAATCTTTTGTGGCACCTCAAGCTGGAAGCCCCCAAGTCATGGGAGTTGTGGAGAGAGGAGCATTGTGCCGGGGGTTGAGTGGTCTGGTTTTTAGTCCCACCTCTGCCACTGCTTGGCCGAATGGCCTTCTCGTCCAGAGTTGATGCTCCTTGTCTGTTAGATGTTGTGTGTTTCTGAGAGCTTTTAGCACTGAGGGTGCCATCTCTGCTCCTCTTATTCATGGATCCAAATGGCTGGTGGGTTTTTCTAGAGAAGGTGCTGATTGTGAAACCTGGAGTGTGGCCAGTGCTCATTTGACAGTTCCTGGTTTCTTAGGACTACCGTAACCAAGCACCAGAAGGTTGACCACTGACCTTTATTTTCTCACAGTTCTAGAGCCCAGAAGCCTGAATTCAGGACCTCAGCAGGCCATGCGCTCTGAAGACTCCAGCACTACATCCTTCCCTGGCTTTTCTAGTTTCTAGAAGCTGTTGATGTTCCTTGTGGCAGTCTAACACTCATTCTGCCTCTGTCTTTCTATAACCACGTTACTTCTTTCTCTCTGTCTCCATGTATCTTCTTTTTTTAACAAGGACATCAGTCATATTGGGGTTTAACCTAATGACTGTAAATTAATTACACTTTAAAGACTTCCCAAATAAGGTCACAGGTATGGGGTTACTACTTCAACAGGTATTCTAGGGATCCCAGTTCAACCTGAAATACCCAAAATCCATGTTAACCACAATTCCGAGAAAGATATGTTTAGTTTTTAAAGATTGTCTTGGAATAAGCATGAGATCCAAACAGACCTGGATTCTGGGGCAGGGGGGAGGGTTGTTGTGTAATTTGAGTCAGAACCAACCTATAGCTGACCCCTTGCAAGTTTCCAGAGACAATTGCACGACAGGAGATTGCCTATCCTTCTCCCTCAGAGAAGCTGATGGATTCAAACTGTGTGCCTTTGAGGTTGCAGTGGAGCTTCTTACCGCTAGGTCATCAGAGCTTCCTGGATCCTAGGGCTGTTGTGTGCTGTCAAGTAAACAACAGCTCATGTACAATAATTCTGAACCCTCCTCCATCCTGAGCCAGTCTCACTGTTGCCAGTACACCCATCCTCAATACTCCAGTTACTGTGTCAATCCATCTCATCTGGGGTCTTCCTCTCCTGTGCTGTCCCTCAACCCTTCCAAGTATGATGTCTTTCTCCAAGGACTGGTCCCTTCTGGATACATGCCCCAAGTATTCGAGTCAGAGTCTCAAAATCCTTGCTTCTAAGCAGCAAACTGGTTTCACCCTTTCCGGGACAGATCTATTTGTTCTCTTGGCAGTCCATGGTGTATGCTCAATACTCTTCTCCAGCACCACAACTCCAAGGCATCAATTCTTCTTCTGTCATCCTCGGACTTTGTCCACCTCTTCTCTGCCATTTGTGGCAGTGTGACCTCCAGTAAGTCACATCACTACCCTAGCTGATTTGCTCAAGTGGGGATAAGCCTTTCAACTGTGGGTTATGTCATGTTTAAGAAAGCAAATACTGGAACTGGAAAGTCTGGGTTTAAACTCAGACTCCATCACTCAGCAAGGATTCTGAGGCTCTGTCTAACATACTTTGGACATATTGTAAGGAGAGACCGGTCCTTGGAGAGGGACATCATGCTTGGGAGGGTGGAGGGACAGCGCAGAGGGGAAGGCCCTCTAGGAGGTGGATTGATTCAGTGACTGGGGTAATCGGGATGGGTGTATTGGAGACAATGCGATTGGCACAGAACAGAGCAGGGTTTAGGGCTGTTGTACATAGGGTCACTATGAGTCGCAGGCAACTCAACGGCACATAACAACAACAACAACAACCATCACTCAGCAGCTCAGAAACTTTGAGGGAGTTATTAGAATCACTGGTTTCCTCACCAATAGGAAGGAATACTGACAACATGGATTTCATAGAACCCTGTTATTATAAACACAAGCACTTAGCACAGTACCTGTAATGTGATAATTGCCCAATCCATTATAAGCATGTGTTTATTATCAGCACTGTTTTTATTTTCAGTTCTCCTGCAGTATTTACATACTGCAATGATGTGAAAAAAATGATGTGAAATGGATGGGAACCTTTATTCTTTCCAGATCAACAGTGCGAGAACACTATTTTCATGACAGTTTGAGAGGATAGGAGCCATGTCCCCTTTATGCAGGTCCTGGACTGCCTTCAAGGCCATTCAGAACCTAACACACCATGAAGACTGTTTCAAGAAAATCTTCCCAATTCCCTCCCCCTACTAGACGATGCTGATGCTGAGGGAACTTTGTGGATGATTCTGTTCCCCAGGATCTTCTGAATCCTGGGTGTCTCCCCAGCCAGGCTCTGGCTTGGAGATACCTGGGGACAGCAAGGAGCATTTCTTTCCTTAGGACAAGAGGCAACTGAGGCTGGTGACTCAACTTCCAAGTTGCCACTTTATGAGATGCCTTGCTTTAGATCCCTGAGGGGTGCACAATCTACTCTCTTCCCAGGTGTCCTGGCTCCTCAGTGAACGATTTCTGCTGCCATAGCAACTGTGAAACTTATTATATATCTTCTCCCTTATCCTAGGAGCAGCCTCAGAACAGACAGAGACAGTCCAGCCGGGCGATGAGATCCTTCAACTGGCTGGCACTGCTGTGCAGGGCCTCACGAGACTGGAAGCCTGGAACATCATCAAGGCTTTACCTGATGGACCTGTCACCATAGTCATCAGGAGGAAAAGCCTGCAGTCCAAGGGGACCACAGTCCCTGGAGATCCTCAGGCCGAGCACCGGTGCTAATGCCCAAAGCATGAAGCTCCCCGTAACCTTTGATTCTCAGGGTCTCTATCACCCCAACCCAGATGGGGGAAAACTCAGAGGTGCTTCCTGGTGCCAGTGGCCTGAGTTTGGATTTTCCGGTACCACCCAGTCAAAGGACTGTCCCCAGAGTAAAGGCAGAGTTGCACTGGAGTGGCTGATACAAACTGTATTCTGTGCACAGAGAGCTTAATGAAAATATTGCAATGTTATAAATAAAATGGATATATGATAATTTGATAAGGAATTCATGTCCTGCTTGGCAAAATCATCCAACTATGATGGCTGTGTACATAGTCCACCACTAAATGGCAGCATTTATTTATCTGATGACTCTGCAGTCTAGACAGGCCTGGCAAGGACAGGTTCATCTTCTGTTCTGTTTGGTCTCCATGGTAGGAACTCAAAGTCCGGGAGCTACAACCATCTAAAGGATCTTTTACTTCCATGTGTGGTAGTTGTGTTTGGTTGTTGACTGGAAACTCAACTCTGGCTGTTGGTCTGGTTCTGAGGTTCAGAGTCTCAGGGTTGAGGAGCCAAGTAGAAGCTGTATGTATTTTATGAACACACCTTGGGAGCCACAAAGCATCACTTCCATGATATTCTACTGTTTAAGATTTAAGGGGAAAAGCACTATTGCTGAGACCAATATTGGAAATAACATCTCACCACATAAAATAAATGCAAGACGATGCCAGGTCATATATAAGATAAGCTAAAGGAGTGTAAGTGAAACCCAAGGTGTGGGTAGATGTGCCAACAGAATGAGGGGGTAAGAGAAAAACTGCTGCCATCAACCGACCACACATGAGCATTATGATTGGTGTAAGTGACCATTGTATTCAGGGATCACAGCAGCTTCTGCAAGTAGTGGCTACTGTGCCATTACATCAACAAGGAAGTGACTTATCCAGCCGGTGAGTGGTGAGCTAGAGAAACAGAGTCTTTTATTTTCTAAAATTTTAATTGGTTTACATAAAAAAGTTGCATACATTGTGTTTTGTGTATATACATTGTATTTCATTTATATACATTGTGTTTCATGCCTGTCTCCTTTCTTCACATTATCATTCCTATGCATTGTGTCTTATAAAATTAATCACCATTGATCCCTGCCCATCATTACCCCACCTTTTCAGGTTCCCACTAGATCTTTCCTAATTCCTTCACTCCCTTACTCTGGCCCACAAACTCTGTGACCTCAAGATACCACTCCCCCTTTCGCCTGTCTCTTCCCTCCTCTTTCCCCTTTGGACTTTGGTACACACCCTACTAGCTATTCTTCCATTATTTAAAAACATTTTATTAATTTTAATGAACATTTATAGATATTTTGGATTTCCATTCATTGTTGAACTATCCTTCCATTTTTACAATAATGGTCATATGTAGTATCTGTCTTTATGAGACTGAGTTAGTTCACATAACATAATGCTCTCCAGACTCTCCCATGTTATGTGTTGTTGTTGTTGTTGTTATGTGCTGTCAAGTTGCCTATGACTCATAGTGACCCTATTGTACAACAGCTCTGAAGCCTGCCCTGTCCTGAGCCAGTCTCACTGACTGACACGCCTACCTCCATTGCCCCAGTTACTGTATCAATCTTTCTCATCCGAGGTCTTCCTCTCCTGCACTGTTCCTCCACCCTTCTGAGCATGATGTACTTCTCCAAGGATCGGTCTCTCCTGGCCATGTGCCCAAAATATGTGAGGTGGAGCTTCAAAATCCTAGCCTTGAAGGAATAACTTGGTTTCACGCTCTCCAAGACAGATATGTTTGTTGTCTTGGGGTCCATATTGTGTTCAAGACTCTTCTCCAGCACCACAACTCTAAGGCATCAATTTTTCTTCTGTCATCCTAAGTCATTGTCCAGCTCTCTGATGCGTAGCAAGTAATTGCGAAGACCATGACCTGGATCAGGTGCACGTTAGTCTCCTGATTGTCATTGTTGCTTCTCAGTACTCTGGTGAGGTTCCTGATGGCATATTTTCCCAGTGCAATTCATCTTTTGATTTCATGGCTACTGGTGCTGAGAGTTTTTAGTATGGAGCCGAGCAAGCGGAAGTGGTTAACAACCTCAATCTCTTCTTCATCTATCATGGTGCTGCCAATTGGCCCAGTGATGAGATTCTTTGTCTTCTCGATGTTGATCTTTAATCCATATTGAAGATTACAGTCCCTGACCTTCTACAGTAAGCACTTCATGTCTTGCTCAGTTTCACCAAGCAAAGTTGTGTCATCTGCATAACATAGGTTGTTGATGAGTCTTCCTCCAGTCCTGAGACCACATTCCTACTCAATAAACTGAGCCTCCTGAATGATCTATTCTGCATATAGATTGAAAAGATATGGAGACAAGACTCATCCCTGAATCACTCCTTTCCTCATTTTGAACCATGCAGTGTTTTTCTGCTCTGTTTTGAAGACTGCTTCCTGGTCTGAGTATAGGTTTTGCATCAGACAATCAAGTGCTCTGGGATTTCCATTCTCCTCGAGGTTAACCATAATTTGTTATGATTCACACAGTCAATTGCCTTTGCACAGTCAATGAAACACAGACAGATATCCCTCCGATGCTCTGCCTTCTGCCAAAATTCACCTGACATTGGCAATAATGTCTTTAGTGTCATGACCCTTTCTAAACCCAGCTTGTATTTCTAGTAGTTCTCTGTCAATATACTATTCTAGTCATTTTATAAATAATCTTCAAGATTTTGTTTGCATATGATATTAGTGATATTATTTAATAATTTCTACATTCTGTCATGTGACAAATATAGATCTCTTACAGACAGTTGGCCAAGTAGTTGTCCTCCAGATTTCTTGGCACAACCTGGTAGGCACATCCAGGGTTGCATCTGTTTGTTGAAATATATCAATTGATATGCCATCAACTCCTGGGGCCTTATTTTTTTTTCCAAGTCCTTCAGAGCAGCCTGCACTTCCTTTGGCATCATCATTGACTCTTGATAATATGCTGTTTCTTTTAATTCTTCTGTGTAAGCCAATTATTTTTGGTGCAGTAACTCTGTACACTCCTTCCATCTTATTTTATTGCTTCCTGTCATTCAATATTCTGCCCATAGCATCTGTAAATATTGCAACTTGTGGCTTGAATTTGTTCTTTAGTTCCTTTAGCTTGGGAAATGAGGAGCAAAGTTCAGCCCTTTTGATTTTCCAAATCTAGCTCTTTGTACATTTCATTATAGTACTTTGTCTTCCCAAGCTGCCCTTTGAAATCTTTTATGCAGTTCCTTAACTTCTTGATTTCTTCCCTTTGCTTTAGCTTCTCAGTGCTCTACTGCAATATTCAGAGTCCTTCTGACATCCACTTTGGTCTTTTCCATCTTTGTAATGACCTTTTGCATTCTTCATGGATGATATTCTTGATATCTTCCCACGGCTCCTCTGTTATTTGTTCATTAGTGTTCAAAGCCTCAGAAAAAAACCTGTTCCTGAGTTGGTTTGTAAATTCAGGGGAAGGAGATTCAAGATGAAATTTTGATTCCTGTGTATTTGATTTGACCTTCTTTAGCTTTAATTTGAACTTGCATGTTGTTGTTGTTAAGTGTCGTCAAGTCATAGACAACTCATAGCAACCCTATAAATGAAAGACCTGAACACTTGTATAAATTTCATCATTTCTCCAAGTTCATAGAGTTTCCAGAGGCAAGCTGTTTTGGAAGTGGATGCCACTCCTGCTTCCAAGCTGGTTTTAATCAGGGAGCTCAACCAAAGACTGTCCACCATAGGTAACCATTATCACATTTGACATGTCAGTGTCACAGTGTTTAGTATCACAGCAAACACGAGTTACCTCTGTACAGTGAACTTGTATATGAGTAGTTTAAATCATTGCTCCTGAGTGCTGCATAGTATTTCATTGGGTCAATGTACCGCAATTTGCCAATCCTTTCATTAGTTGGTGGATCTTTTTACTGTTTCCCTGAGGAAAATAGAACTGAGACACAGAGATTTGTACACCAATGTTCATAGCAGCAGCATACACATTAGCAAGACAAGTCCTTTTGTGGTTTATGTAGACACAGACCAGGGGATTCCTAGTGTTGTAGGAAAATTCCTTCTAGGTATCTGATCAAAAGGATATTTGCTTATTCACTTCTTAATGCTTGAGTGCAACTTTAAGACAAAGCAATGTGACAATATTAGCAGTAAGTAGTTTGCTGCTTGCTATTGTGAAATGAGTGTAAGGAGAGTTCTGTCAGGGACCACAACACTGCATGAAAAATAGCTACTCCCAAGCAGTACCATTTGGGCCATGTTGATGTGTTGACATATTCTACTTTCACCTCCTGACTCCATTAAAGCCTAGGTGCTGATCCAAGTGGTTCTGACTTATGAGTGTCAGAGCAGAACTGTGGGTTTCCCCTGTTATTTAAATGAAAGTTTATAGAGAAATTGGTTTTCCACTCAACAATTCATATACCTTTTTTCATGACATTGATTTCAATCTCCTCACTGTAACAGCATCCCTCCCTGTGTTTCCCTTTCCAATTCACCCTTCTCTCCTGTACCTTCTTGCCTATTCCTGAGGAAATGCTTTCATTTTAACCTCATGTGGTTGGTTGCTCTAAAAAGTGTGTTCCTCCTTGGTATTATTGGTCACTTTATAGCTTTATTATTTGGTTAGAAGTTGAGACAAGGGTGGGTAGGGAAATGGATTTCATTTTCAGACTTGAAGACTAAGGGATCATAGTCTCAGGGGTTCAACCAATTTCTAGTAGACTTCTAAGCTTAATTCCTTTTATGGTTTTTAGTTTTGTTCCACATTTTCCTCCTGTTCTATCAGAGACTTTCTATCATAATCTCTTTCAGTGTAGTCAGCAGTAGGGGCCTGCTACCAACTAGTTTCTAGTCTCAGGGTTATGGAGACTGACGTTCATGTGACCTCTGAGACGTCTGGACTAAACAGATTATTTTCTTCCCTTCTTTCTGCTCCAGACATGGAGACACCAGGTTAC